AAACAAAAAAAGATTCAGACGCCCTTGAGTTCAAGCAGGGACATGATTGTGACATGAAGGATTAGATCTCACACCGATAGGCATCAGGAAATCCCCTGTCTGAGCTTTTACTTCCCTTCTGGCCCCATTCCTTGATATATTATGATTGCAAATCCTGAAAGGCATCTGCAGCCCTGCTGTCAGGGTGGAGGGAGGATGGAGAGGGCCCAACACGGGAGATCTGTCTCCCCTTAGGTGGGAAGATGGGCCTGGAACAACCATGGAGTGTCACTGTCCACTGCTGACCCACTCCTGCACAGGAGTCACAGCGTGGGAAAAGGGCAACTCATAGAGCCACAGAACAGTTTGGGTTGGAAGGGGCCTTAAAGATCACCCAGTTCCAACCCCTCTGCTACGGGCAGGGACACCTTCCACTAGACCAGGTTGCTCAGAGCTCCACCCAGCCCGGCTTTGAACACCTCCAGGGATGGGGTATCCACAACTTCCCCGGGCAACCTGTTCCAGTGCCTCACCACTCTCACAAGGAAGATTTTTTTCCTAATATTTAATCTAAACCTGTTCTCTTTTAGTCTGAATCCATTCCCCCTTGTCCTGTCACTACATGCCCATGTATATAGTCCCTCTCCATGTTTCCTGTGGGCTCCCTTCAGGTACTGGAAGGCTGCAATTAGGTCACCCCTAAGCCTTCTTTTTTTTCCAGGCTGAGCAATCCCAATTCTCTCATAGCAGAGCTGCTCCATCCCTCTAATCATCTCGGTGTCCCTCCTCTTGACTCGCTCCAACAGCTCCATGTCCTTCCCGTGCTGGGGACCCCAGAGAGTGGTGTTTGTCCCTCCAGGAGCCCACCTCGATCCCGGGACACCTCTATCCCCGGGACACCACGATCCCGGGACACCTCCATTCCCGGGACAACTCCATCCCGGGACACCTCCATCCCCGGGACAGCTCCATCCCGGGACACCTCCATCCCCGGGACAGCTCCATCCCGGGACACCTCCATCCCCGGGACACCTCCATCCCCGGGACAGCTCCATCCCCGGGACAGCTCCATCCCGGGACATCTCCATCCCTGGGACACCTCCATCCCCGGGATACCTCCATCCCTGGGACACCTCCATCCCCGGGACACCTCTTTCCGTCCCCTGGCTAGCAGGGGGTGGCTTTTGATGGGCACCCGCAGTGCTGAGTCTCGGCAGGGGCCAGGAGCAGGGCTCAGACTCCCACATTCCCGCCGACGGGATCACTCCCGTTTCCCCTCGAGGGCCGTCTCGCCCCGCCAGGGGGGCGGAGCTTTCCTGCAACTGGCCCCGCCCCTTGCCCTAGCCCCGCCCCCGGGCAGGCCCCCGCGCGCCTGCGCACCGCGCGCGGTGCCGGGAGCGGGGCGGGCGCCGCCATGAGCTTCCTCATCGACTCCGGCATCATGTTCACCTCGCAGGTAACACCCGCCGCCCCCACCGCCGCTGCTGCTGCTGCGCGGCGAGGCCACCCCCGGCCGGCAGAAGGGCGAGGGAACGGGAGGGTCCCGCTTCGCCCCGGGGTTCCCGCCTCGGCCGCCGCCCCTCCGGGAGCGTGAGGGGCGGTGCCTGCCGGTGCGCATGCGCAGCGCCCGGCGCGCGTGGGCCTCCCGTTCCCCCGTGTGTGTGTCGCGCTGTGGCCGTGTCGCGATATGGAGACCCCCGAGCTCCTGCCCCGTCCCGGGGCTGCTCCCGCACGTGTCGCGGTGACCCCCGCGCTCCTGCGGCGGCCAGGTCAGGGCTTCGGTGCATAAGAAAAGGTTCAGCCGATAAAGGTCATAATGGAGCTTTTTTGCGTGAGTGGAGCTTTTCCTGCGATACCGCTCCACTTCTTGAGCCCGAGTGTAGCTTTGGTACTGTTAGCAATTCACCCAGCGCAAACATTTTCCTGTTTTTTTTTCTTTTTTTTTTTCCTTTGAATTCCGAGTTCTGACTTATCTAATTAGCTTTTCTTTCATTTCTGGTGGCGGCTTTTCATCTTCTCATCACTGTATACATTTGACATCAATATACACTTCCGTGTGTTTAAAGTTTCCCAGTTGGATCAGGCAGGGGAGTTCATCTTGCTGTTCTCTCTTTAGGGCTTGGTTTGTTTCTGGTGCTCCTTAAGAAGATTGGATGTAGGCAGTTGGACCAGATGATGGCTGTGAGTCTCTTCCAGCCGAAAGGCTATCCCATCCCATTCCAGTCCATTCTTCTGTTCCAGGTTTACCCCTGAGGAATCTGCTTGTTTACAGCTTTGGAAGGTTTTTCGTTGTCTGCTTCCAGGAATTTAAAAGGACGCCGCTGTTTTATCCCAAGTGCCTCCTTCTCCATTGATCCTGTGATTCAGCACTTCCTTCAGTTTTCTCTTTCTGCTGCCATCTTTCCATTAATCCTTGTTTTACCCCAGCTGAACTCACATAGGAGCCCTTTAAAGCTTTTCATGTCATCCTGCCTTTATCATTATGAAGTGGGTTGTGGTCTTGGCATACTTGAAACTGTCCTGTTGTTTTGTGTGAGGAAACAGTACCTTCTTCCTTAGCCTCCTTTGCTAGGAATTTATCTTGCCACTGTGTTTTCTTTTACCTTCCACTCCTGCTCCTCCTGAGTGAGCATCTAAATGCCTCTTCTTCCTGGCTGCCTCTTTGGCAACTGAGGTGGTCCAGCTGTTTGTTTCTGCCAAAGGGGCAAGGTTCTGCTCTCTCTTTGTGCTCCCACCAGTGTTTGGTAAGATGAGTTTAAGTGGATCACAGAGGGATCTGAGCTGCTGAGCTGGTGTGAAATTTTTGTTCTGTAGTGAGGAGGGATGAGCTGAGGAAAGAGAACCTTTCACCTCTTAGCAGCAGCTGGTTGTCCTTTACGGGCTTTAATGCACAACCCTAATTCCTGACAGTTTGCAGGACAGGTTTTGGTTGTTTCTTAGAATTGCAGTGTCCTCCTACTTGATAATGCTTTGATTTTTACTCATAACATGCTTTTCCACAGCTTTGATACTGTTAACAATTCACCCAGAACAAAAACTTTCCCCTTTTTTTACCTTTGAATTCTGAGATCTAACTTATCTAATAGTTTAATTTCTTTTCTTTAATTTCTGATGGCAGCTTCTCATCTTCTCATCATCTTCAACAGTATCAAGTGAGGTGTTTAAATCACTGCATGTGTTAAATGCTCAAGATTTTGCTGACTTTATACATCACTTTAACCTGATTAGATTGTGAACAGTTACATGTCTTTCTGTGCTTTTGTACAGAAGACAGTCCCTAACACAAGGGAAATCTAATCTTCTTCTATAATTTTCTCTGTTATTATTGCACTTATCTCCTCATCTTTTTCTTTTACTCATTTCTTTTTGAAGAGTTCGACTCTACCTTTTCCCTCCTTTCCAGTGTAAAATGTGGAATTACTTTATGTAAATCTCATTTGCTTATCATGCTTCTTTAACTTATGACCTGTAGATAGGAGGCTTGTGGAATATCTTTCCTTTTTACAAGCAGCTGCTTTAAAGTCTGAAGTCCTCCTCCAACAAGTCTTGCCAGCTGTTGCCAATCATTAGACCTCATTCGACCTCATTCCTATTTCAGTTCCTCTTTCAAGGCACCTGTGTGTGATCTTCCTTGCCCAGCATTCCAGGTATTCCTTGTCTGTAAATCATGTTAGTCTGTTACCTTTGCCACTGTGGTAACTCCTGATGTGCAGGGAAATAATCCACAGACATTTCTTTGGTTTTGTCTTTGAAAGTTTCCCATCTCCACCAGAACACTCTGGCCTTTTTTCCATGTGCTCTGGGGAGATAAACTGACTTTATTCCATGACGTCTGACATATTCTGCTCTTTGCCTTGGTCAGAGCTACTTCTGTAGAAAGATACTGAATATCTTCTGAATTCTCTTTTTGCTTGGGTTCTTTTAAATCATTACACTCCCTTTTTCAGTATTGTGAGAAGTAAATGGAGCTGTCCACAGGGGGCCTGACAACACACTCCCCTTTTGCTCTCTGCAGCTGTGTAATTGCAGTTTTGGCCACCTTGCTCAATTTGATTTTGTTTCATTTATCTGCAAAATACCTGTGATGTTAACTTGGTTTCTTCAGGCATGTGCTGAAACTTAAAGCAGATTTTGTAAAGTGCTCTGACAGCCGCAGAAATGCAAAGTGCTGTTGGTTTTTCCTGCTTCACCTGCCTCGTCCATGTGGCTTTCTGCAGCTCCAGACTGTGGTTTGAGGCATTCAGCAGTGCCTTTTCCCTGCCTTACAGATGCTTGTAACACTTTTCACTCACTTTTGTGTCAGTGAGTGACAGCTTTGCTGTGAAGACCCCTCCAGAGAAATCAAATGGACTTTAGTCTTAAGGAAACAGCAGATATCTTTATAAAATTTACTCATCTCTAGAAGATGTGTATGTGTTGGACATTCAGGTGTTTGCTTTGCCTCCATTACTGTGTTTCCTGTAAAAAAACTGGGGGCTTTAATTCCGTAGATTAGAAGACTGAAACAAGAATCAACAGTGCAAGGGATCCTGGCAGGCCAGGAACTAGGGAATTCTGAGAATTTAGGAATGCAGAACTGGGTTGTCTTGACTGGATCCTCCATAAGGCCATAGCCTTCTGTACCTGCTACACATGGATATGTAAAATACACTTTCTTCCATGGTACTGTGGGAAGTTTTAGTCTTTTGTGGATCTTGGGTACTTTGGCCCAGCTCTTTTCCTTCCCTGTGTTTCATGTACAATCAGTAGGGAAGGGGCTTTGTGTTCTGCAGGTGTTCAGTGCTTCATCTCTTCTGCAGGTGCTGTTCTTTGGATTTGGGTGGCTGTTCTTCATGCGTAAGCTCTTCAAGGATTACGAGGTGAGAAGGAACCTTTCGTTACAAGTCTGTGTCTTCAAAATTACTCCCAATTATAGAAGTATTTTTAAAACTGCATTTAGCCTTATTCCTCTCTTTAATCTCCTTTTTTCTTATTTTGAATTGTGTCTGCAGTTGCTTTCTTTTGAATTTCCTCTCGTGCTTCTGTTTGAAAGACTCCCAGATATCTGAGGAAGCGGCTTCCTCTGGGGCCAGTGAAAGTTTCCACGTTGACTACTGTTAAATAAAAAGAAATATGCAGGATATGCAGGGGTAATAGGAGACTGGTTTGCTTTTTGCTTGAGCAGGCCTGTCTTGTACAACTGTAAAATTTTTGAGACAAAATGAAATTCAGTGGTTAACTTTAAACCAAGTGAGATGTGTTCATTGGGGCTGAATTAGTTGGGAGGATGGGATGGGATAAAAATGCCAAGTTCTCTTATTCCTAGACCGGTATGTGAGTGTGGTGTAGGTCAGAGATGGCTTAAGTGTGAGCCAGATTCAGACCCAACAGTTTGTCTGATGTGGATTTTGTTTTTAAATCTCAGGTTAATGTCTAAGAGCTCTGTTAGCTTATGAGTTTTCCCTCTGGTTTCCAAGAGGATTTTGGTTTCTCCCTAATTAGATAAAAGGAAGGGTGCAAGAGACCTGGTTGTGGGCCGTCATCATGCCTTGTGATTTGTGTTTGCTACCTGAGGGATATCAGAAAGCCATTCCAGGAATGGAAATGCCTCATGTCTCTGGATTGTTTTCTGCATTGCAGGTTCGACAGTATGTGGTCCAGGTGATCTTCTCTGTGACTTTTGCCTTCTCTTGCACCATGTTTGAGCTCATCATCTTTGAGATTTTGGGAGTGCTGAACAGCAGGTGAGTCTGGGAGTCCCCTCAGGGACTAGCCTGCCTTGTGTTCTGCACCATCTTCAGGCTAACTTCTGAACTAATGGATTAGTCTTGGATTGGGGAAAACATGTGAGGAAACTGCCAACAACTCAACGAAGGTGTCTGTGCAGCAACATTTATTAATTTGGCAGAACATGAGACTAGAATCCGTAAGCTTCCGATTTTCTATGCAATCACTATTAGTGTGGTCTAGATCCTTAGTGCAAGGCTTTAGTCTTTGACTTTCTCCATTTGTGAAGTTAAAAGGAACAGTTTCTTTTATGGGAGTATTGTGGAGCTTTAGATCATTGCTGAAGAGCACTTTTTACAGACGTTAAAGGACTACAGAAACTTTAAGCACTAGTTTTTCTGTGCTGGTCAGAGCAGGGAATAAGATGTGAAGCGGATTGTGGAGTGAAAGCAAGGTCTGTAACAACAGAGGATTTGTGAATCAAAGGTGCATCCTCCCTGGACCATAGGGTGAGGACTTCTATGTAAAGAGGATGTTAAAGACTGTCTGCTTTGGAAGTCAGTAGGAAAGAGGAGATAGAACAGTAACATGTAAAGGCTAAGTTGGTTTTCTGCTTATTCTGTCTCATCATACTAGTATAAGAGAGCAGTCAAAGGAGTTGAAAGGCAAGAAATACAGAGCTGATAAAAGGTAATATTAGTTCTGACTGTATGTTATTAGTATGTAGACCTTGCAACCAGAGAGGTCGCTTAGGAGAATGTTTTTATAAGCTTCACTAAAAGGATAGATGAAAATGTTTGCCTCTGAATTAGTTAGGCAAAAAGTGACAAGGATCCTCATAATTTCTTCTTCCCTGAGGCTCAAAGAGGATATGAGTTAATGCTGGGAATGGGACATGTGTTTTTCTATTCAAGTAAAGTGAAAAGTTAGTTCAGCCCAAATGAATCTCGTCTGCATTTGACCAATCTCATTTGATCAAAATGATCAATACTCCTTAAAAATCTTGCTTTGCAAAGTCTTGCAGATGAGACAACTCACTCCAAAGGGAAACATGTTGAATTATCAACATTAAATATTTTTAGTCTTTTCAATATTTAGCCCTGTTTTGACTCAGCCATTCATTAGAGTATTAATGACTGCTTATACTTAGTTTTGATTTACTGTTCAACTAGATGAGCAGTCAGTCACATGAATCATGCTGCAACCAGCATTAGTCACCACAGAAAATACAGTATTTGATAAAGTAGCCCAGTGTGTTTTTCTGGATAGTTGTTAATTTTGAAATACACATCCTTGAGCTCTGTATTTAAAATTAAAACCAAACAAAACCCCAAAATAAACAAGCCTCCCTCCCCAACCCTAAAAAATGCAAAAAAATCCACTATATTCTGTGTGCTAGGCTAATATTATTCCATGCATGATGTAGTTGAAAGGATTGTTTGACATGTGATTTTCCTTGAGGGATGTGTTGTATTATGATATCATGCTAATCAGTATTTTGGCTTTATTTCAGCTCTAGATATTTTCACTGGAAGCTGAACCTGTGTGTCATTTTGCTCATCCTGGTCTTCATGGTGCCCTTCTACATTGGTTACTTTGTTGTGAGCAATATCAGATTGTGTGAGTATTTGGTTTGTGACAGTGGCACTGAGAACTTGGGACTGGGGATACAAGTGAGAAATAACTTTTCTGGGACAGAGAGATATGTTGGTCACTGTCCTCATTGCTCCCTCCTTCCTCTGGCTTTCTTCTGCCTGTATAGCTTCTCTTTGGAACTTTATGCTTTAGCATGAACTGGTCATTGAACAGTCAGGAAATACTTTACACGACTCCAACAAATGTTACTTTTCTTCATGGGTTTCGACAAAGTTGGGCACTGTAGGGTGGTATTACTGGAATTTGTTCCTTTGCAATTTTAAGCTTGCAGCCAGGCTCTGGAACCCATGGCAAGGCTGTGTTGTTCTGCTAGGGGGCAAAAGAAATGAGGCAGAGAAGCTAAATAAATCAGTCTTGAGGCAGAAAAGCTCAATAAATTACTTTTTTTTTTTTTTGGCTTCTACTGTCTGGATGAGTCTTCTCTCTCTAATGGACACTTAACCCTTGAGCTATTGATATTCATTGCTCTTTTGTGTTAAGCTTTGGCATGGAGGGTGGTATTAAATGTGCAGTTTTGCCATGAAGATGAAATATTTAAGTTTCACGTCACACAGCATCAGAAAGACTGTGGGAAGTGAAGGGGTGCACACCGTGAGCTGTAGCTCTGTCAGTTCTCACCTGCTTTGTCCACCTGTGCTCAAAGTAGCCTTTAGACCAGTGTGGCGATTTTGCAAGCTAGAAAAAGCCCTAAAGGGGAAACCTCTTTTAAATTCTGCCTTTTTTCCCCTCTCCATTAGTGCACAGACAGAAACTCCTTTTTGCGTGTGTTCTGTGGTTGACGTTCATGTATTTCTTCTGGAAGTTGGGGGATCCGTTTCCTATCCTCAGCCCAAAACATGGTGAGTTTCATTTTCTTGCTGATTCCTTCCCTCCTCCAAATAGCCTTTGTTATCTCTTTTATCTTGGAGCTATAATTATCTCATCTCTACAGCTGGGACTGTAGAAAGTAGCTCTTGAAACTGAGGGTCTGCTCTGCTTTGAAATCTGCAGCCTGAGGGTTGTCAGACTGACAGAAATGGGTGGATACACCTGGATTATTTGCATGAGTTTTCTTTCATTATCACAGGAAAACCTAAGGGAAGCGAGTGAGTCCTTACTGAACCTAGACTGAAAGGACACTTTGAGGACACAAAAATCTCCACAGAAAGTTGATCACAATTTTTGTTCACTTATTTCTTTTATTGTGGACACCAAAGCTAGTTTATTTAAGAAGGGAATCATCAACCAACCCTTCACCTGACTTTTTTTTCTGTCAGATTATTGTTTCTTGTGGCTGAAATCAGATCAGTTTAGCATGGGTGGCTGTCCAGTTGACGAAACATGTCAGGGGCAGCCTAAACACCAGACTTTGGCCAGCAACAGGCCTGGCAGCATGTGCTGGCTTTGGTACAGATCCATGCACTGCCTGAGCCCAGGGGCAGTGCAGTTGCCTGGTGTTAGAGGGTGAGTTGGTGAGTTCTGCTGGGTGCCAGAGCTATTTATGTGCAGAATTAGCTTGGGCATAGTTGTGTAGCAGTCATGGAACCAATGCAGTGTGAAGATACTGTGTGCTCTTGGGCTTGTTTGGGTCCAACAGAGCTTGTTAGCACGTGCCTGGCTGTGCTGAGAATCCTTGAGGCACCCAAGTGTGCTGAAGACTGTAACACTGTAGAACCACACTATTTGTCACCCGGGTTTCCTGTGGAACTTACATTGCCCTTAAAGCCTGTGTTGGAAAATCGTTCGTGTGTTGTTCTCAACAGGTGAATTTCACCCAGTTTCCCTCAAATTGGTGAATTCTGTGTGCATACATAATGGTCAGCTTAGTCTTCCTGTTCTCTAGGAAGCTGCTTCATTCTGTACTAATTTGTAAGAGAAAAAATTGAAGGACACCAATTGCTGTCGGGGCTGCTCACCCTTTCATCTGTCATCGTAAAACTTTTCTGAGAGGGAGCGTGTATCTGTGTTTTGTAATTGTGTCATTTGCCTCAGAAGTACAGCAGGTACTGTACAGTGCAGATCCCTCTGCCCAGTGTTCCACTGCCAAGGAAAAGGTGCATCCACTGTGAACTGCAGAAGGTGCTTGAGTTGGCAGAATGGGATACCCAATGAGAACTTAGCCATGGAGTTTAGGTAATCCTTTTCAGGTCTCTGAGAAGGTTCTGGGAGGCTACCCACCGTGTGAAGATTTGCAGAACTGGTAGTGGGGTGTTTTCTGTTTTTAACTTCTCCTTTCTGGGATGATAACACAAACAGTTGCACAGTGCCTTATCCTACCAGGTGTAGACATAAGGTTAGAGCAGATGATTCCCTGCTTCACTGCTGTGGTGCTGCTGTCCTGCCTGTACAGACAGGGCTGCTGCAGGGTTTCATCCTGACTTCGGGAGCTCATAGTAGAAGGAAGGTTATGCTTAATTACATACTAGTATTCTGATAAAGCTCTTACCTTTATCTGAGTTGAGAAAACATTCACTTTATCTGGCCTGATCACAAGAGGGCTGCTGTGAGTGTTGTGGGGAAGCATTGCTCTAACCAGTGGAATGTCATGTCATTTTGAAGGCACCTCTCTTTTAGCTGCTGCGGTCTGACAGTGTGTGGGGCAAAAGGCCAGTGTATTGTAGCACATTCTGTAGCTCGTGTAAATCTCTATGCAGCTGCACATGACTGTGTGTCTCGGTTTCCCTTTGTGAAGTCTTTTTGCCTTGTTTTCATCATTTATTCCACTTCTCTGAAGCATGAAATGTGGCTTGGCGCTTGGCCATCTCAGCTTTGCAATCGTATAAGCTCCAAATGTGCTGTGTGTGGCAGCTGCTCTGTAACTACCTCCCTCAAAAGTGACTGCTGTTTACTAGGACGTGGCACCGTATCCCGAGAAGACAGGTTGAGATCTGTGTTTAAGAATAAATGCAGCTTCAGTGCTTGGTGTTGGTTGCAGCACAGGCTTGATGTTCATGCTGAATTACATGTTCCAGAGTCCACTTGGTGCTCAGGTGGAATACCTTGTTGGCATTCACCTCAACAATTGTGTGTGTCAACCAGATGAATGCTGAACAGCCAGGAGCAGCTTAAGCTTCCCATACTGTCATACCTCCACTCTGCTACAAGCACAACTTGGATCTGATGTGGAGGGGTCACTTCTAAAGACAATTCACAGAATAGGGATTCCTCTCTGTCTCCAGGCATTTTTAGGCCAGTTTTGCTGGGACCAACTGGTTTGGTGACTCTAATCCTGATAATTGCAGAAGTGTCTGTGGAGGATGTCTCCTTTATAGTGTCTGGTGGATGATCCATGTTCCCACCTCAGCAAAGGGCAATCATAATGTTTTATTAATTTGGAACCAAAATTTTGACTGTTAGTCCTCTCCTTGTATCTGTCTTAAGTTTCTTCATAGCCAGGGTTTCCCATCCCTGTTTCTAAGCATGGTAACATGATTTCTGAGAGAGACTTCCTTTCTTTTCACAGTCCCTGTCTGTCCTTCCTGTTACCTGTGGTGATTGCAGGGAGAAGGCAGTTGGATTAATTAAGGAGCTCTGTACTGTGTTGGGAAGGCACCAAGTGTGGAGCAGAGTGAAGAGAGCAAGGTTACTAATGCCATGTTTTCCCTCTCTCAGGAATCCTGTCTATAGAACAGCTCATCAGCCGCGTTGGTGTGATTGGGGTGACACTCATGGCTTTGCTGTCAGGATTTGGGGCTGTCAACTGTCCATACACTTACATGTCCTACTTTCTCAGGTAACTGCAGCCTTATGAAATATTTGTCCAGCTTTTTGAGATTATTCTTCTGCTTTTCCTGTGTCATTGTTTCAAGTTCCTTTGTTGCTTTTTTTCTGAACCTAGCTATCGCCATGTCTTTGTGCTAGAACCATCTCCACTGCTGAAGGATATTCTCCTTATACAGGCTTCTCCCTTCTTTGTTTCATGGGCATGTGCACATCTCCTCTGAAATGGGATAGCAGGCCTAATTGGGTGTCTTCATTTTGTAGGAATGTGACAGATGCAGATATTCTGGCTCTGGAGCGACGACTCCTTCAGACTATGGACATGATTGTTAGCAAGAAAAAAAGGTGAGAAGGCAGCAGTAGCACGAAATTATGTATTTCAAGGATTTTCAGTCAGTGTGGTTCTTGAAATCACCAAAATTATTAGTCCTGTCAGGGCTGTGTGTTCCAGTGAAACAGGTGACTGAATTGGGGTGAGCTGTGTGTGGTGTTTTGTTCTGACCTGATACATGACTTTGGTTTTTTCCCAGACATGTGCACAAAATAGTGTCCTTTGTGAGTGCAGTGGCACAGATTAGGCTTCCAAGACAATTTGTAATTCTCTGGTGGCAGCATAACTAGTCTGTAGGGTGGGCAGCTTTCTCTCTGCTGAGTCAGAACCCTGAGGCCACTGCAGCTGGCTCTTACTGGTGGTGTCAGGACAGAAGTGGTCTGTACATAGGGGGCACTTCCCTGCTGTGTGGATCTGGTGGTTCTGGTCAAAACTGAAGCAGGGCAGTGAGCTGCTGTGGACACAGCTGTATTCTTGCAAATGGCAAGGTTTACATTAGGTAAGTTTTGCAGAATTGCAAAATATTGCTAATGTGAATATAATGTAGTACATAAGTGTGCCATCAGAACTCTGCCTGTGCTGGTTTGGCTTATTCCAGGTACCCCAAGCTAAAAAACTGCTTTGGAAACAGTGCCATTTCATTTACACTGAAAAGGTTTTTGTCTGCCATTACAAATTATGTGTTGCATGCCTTACTAATTGTGCAGAATAAATACAATTGCCATAGTCAATTCAAAGGTTTGACTGTCTGACACTGAATTCTCACAGCAGTCCCCATAAACTTTACTTTTGGTGCCCTGTTGTTTTAATGGAACCTTTTAAAATAAGCAAGGGAGCTTTTAGGTAGTCTAACCTTGCTGAATTTATCACCAGCATGTTTATCTGCTAAACAGTATTAGCAGCTGAAAGTGTAGTTAAAGCATAACCTCCTTCTTCCCCTTGGAAAATGTTAAGTGGTGAACAACTGTTAACTGCATACTTGTGGTCATGTGTGAGATGGTAAGTAGTGAGAGAATTTAATTACTTGGGTTCAATTGATTTAATTGACTGGAAGCCTACTAAAATACCAACTTTGGACTTAAAAGAGATTGTGCTCTTTTGTTTTGTACAGAGGTTTTGGACCTCTGGTCCAGGGAGAGTGATGTTGGAGTAAAAGTAAGGATGTCTGGGACTTTCAACTTTCTTGCCTTTCTATGGCCATGAAATATTCTGCATATAGCAATTTTCTAACCATTATGAAGAGCCGTGTTAACATGTATTAATCACTTGGGAATTATACTGAAGTTCATGTATATGTGTTTAAAAACACCCAATCAAACCCCAAACAAGCCCCAAAACTATGTAGTCTCAGAAATGTGCAAGAAATAGCAGAAGCTTGAATTCTGTAGATTTTGTTCTCTTTTTTCTTTGACAGGGAGCAGTGGCTTGCATAATTGGACTGCTCATATAAAGCAGAATTTGAAAAGTTAGCTATCTACCAGTCCAAATGCATTGCAAATCATTTGCAGAACAAGTGGGAATAGCAGTATTTTACAGTGTAGGGTAAATGCTACAGTACCATAAACTCTTAGTTACTTGCTGGCCACCTTCTCAGTGCCACTGATAGTTCAGAACTTACCAGTGCACACAACAGTTGTGAAGCAATAGAACAAAACTTTTTTGATCTTTTTGCTGATCTTGACATTGTGGAAACTCACCTCTAGGGCTGTCAGGTTCTTTATACTCATCCTTGCAGGTATGACATAACTTAGCCTCAGGTTAGAATTGCCTAGATTCTGTGACACCATTGCTTTGTTGGGCTTCATGTTAGAGTCAGATCAGCTGCTCTGGCATAGATGCATCACAAATCTACACTGACAAAGTGTGTGGGTTTTACCTGTGGATCCTTTCTGTGAAGTCTCCAAGACTCCTGACTACTGGGTGGGTACAGAGATCCCTGTCACCTCTCAAAGGAAAAGATTTGCCTTTGTATATCTGTAGCCTTGTGCTTCACCTTGACATTGCTGCATTTTTGCTGCAGTGCTGTGGATCATGTGGGATGGAACATGTGACTCGGGTTCTGGGAAGAAAGCAAGGATTAAAAATGCATTCCTTACATTTGGCAGCTTTTGGGATGAATTGGATTGTTCTGGGATCTCTGTTATTTGTGGTCTGTGGCCGTGTGTGCTTTTATGTGTGTCAAGTTGGGTGCCCCAAGGGTGTTTCTTCTGCTGGATGTGAAACAGAAATGATGAAACAATTTTTTAAATTTTTTTTTTTTTATTACACTGCTTATCAACCTTGAAGCTCAGCACCAAATGTAGCAACACTGGCTGCAGCTGCAGGAAAGGGCCTAAACACTGTTCAATCACGGATCACCTTGACAATCCTTTGCATAGTTTTCAGCCTAGGAGTGGATAGCTGGCTCACAAATTTCCATGGGAAGAAATGCAAGGGAACGAGACCAGAAGCCAGCACTGCTGGTGGGGATCACGCTGTGGTGCACAGGGGAGTGTGAGGGACGATGGGCAGCTGTGCTGTTGGAATGAGGTTCAGGAGTCATGTTCTGATCGCCTGTAGTTCAGTCCAATAGCGGATTTGTGTATTTCTGCTTCATAACAGCTTGTCATGCAGCCCAGTAGTGAGTGACAGCATATCAGAGAGTGCTGTGCACACCATCCAGTGCTCACAGGTCCGTGGAGAAGGTAGATGTGATAAAGAAGAGGTGTCCAAAGGGAGAGAGGAACATGAGAGGTCTTCCAGTTCCTGAACTTGAGATAACACAGTCATGTGTTTGAGGAAAGGAAAGAAACTAATCATATGACTGAGAAATCCATTTGAATTCTTATTTTTAACTGGGTTTAAATCCCCTTAAGGATTGAAACAGGATCCTGAATGGAAGATTTGGGAAGCGTCTCATTGAATCTTGCTTGATTAGATCTGGGCTCAACTCCAGAGCTAATCAGGATAATTTTATGTGGCAAGGTTGGTGCTTAGAGGGAAAAAAAGAGGGCATCTGTTTGCAGAGAATTTAGTTTAGCACTGTCTTTTAAGAAACTGGTGATTTTTTTTTTCTTTTTTCTTGTTTTGATTTTTCATAAAAATACTTTGTTCCTAAGGACTTGTGTTTTCTGTTCTTTCAGGATAGCAGTGGCTCACAGGACAATGTTCCAGAGAGGAGAGGTGCATAACAAACCCACTGGTTTCTGGGGAATGATAAAGAGTGTTACAACATCTGTTCCAGGCAGTGAAAGTATCCTTCATCTGCATGCTGGCACCTGCCTTGGGAGGTGAATCCAGCTTGCTTTGTTTTGAAAGGTAGAAGGTTAGTTGGGACAGTCACAAAGCATTTGTGTTTCAACACATTTCAAACCTGATGTCTCCTGGGAGGTTTGCTCTGTAGCACTGTGCTGTCTGACCTTTTGGCCTGGGCTTCTTGGACGTGGTTTTACTTAGACACAGGCAGAAGTTGTGTGTTTCTGCCCTGCCCTGTGAATGTGCTGTTGCATGACCATGGCTGAGGTGTACAGCAGATCAGAGGGCAGATGTGCACACTTACAGAATCATGGAATGGCCTGGGTTGGAAGGGACCCCAAAGATCATCTGGTTTCAACCCCCCTAGTGGCAGGGACACCTTCCACTAGACCAGGTTGCTCAGAGCCCCATCCAGCCTGGCCTTGAACACTGCCAGGGATGGGGCATCCACAACTTCTCTGGGCAAAGTGCCTCACCACTGTCACAGTGAAGAATTTCTTCCTAATATCCAGTCTAAACTTGCCCTCTTTCAGTTTGAAGTCATCCCCCCTTGTCCTATCACTACATGCCCTTGTCAAAAGTCCCGTCAAAAGTCCCTCTCCAGCTCTCTTGGAGCCCCTTTAGGTACTGAAAGGCTGCTATAAGGTCTCCCTGGAGCTTTCCATTTTCAATGCTGAGCAACCCCAGCTTTCTCAGCCTGTCTTCTAGGAGGTGCTCCAGCCCTCTGATCATCTCTGTGGTGTGACATTGCAGCCATCTACCCCATCACATCACTGATGTGAGAGTCAGCTTTCTGTTCTGCTGCATCCTGTGCTGGATAGGAACAGGTGAATGGAAGTTGTTCTACCCAGGAGAAAGGAGTAGAAGGAGAAAAGGGAATAGACAATGGGGCTGTATTTGTCTAACTTAGTTACTTACCAATGATTTCTGTCAGATCACTTGAAGTGTGCAGTTTGCATATTTAAGACTGAGGATTCTTCTTCCTCTTCTTTCCCACTAGCTGTTAAAATCAGAATTTGGCTCTTTGTAGTAACCACTAATCTCTTGGGGCAGTTACTCAGCAGTTCTGTTTATGAAGCTGATGTGAGTGTGACATATTGTGAGATGCACTTCAGTGACAAGGGACACTGAGCAGCAGCCTTTGAGAGCTCTGGTTCTATTCTGTGATGTGTTCCCCAGGCAGGGAAATAAAGAGTTTGTTGCATGACTGCCTAAATAGTGTGTACTGCCTACCTTCTTAAACTGGAGCAGTGTGCAGTATGTACATCCTTGGGATTTCTTTGGGTGCCGTGTTAACAAGGAACATGAAGACTGAGTCAAAAAGCTGATCTGGATCAAAAAAGTGATCAAACCTTTAGATGTGGCCCTTGGTCTGAAGGTGGAGAATGTTCTGTTTTTAGCTAAGAATATGTGATGTGTTCTAGCCTTGACTATGCTGGTTTGCCAGATCTGTCCCTTATCCAGCAAGAAGTGGATGCCCTGGAAGAATTGAGTCGGCAGCTTTTTCTGGAAACTGCTGACTTGCATGCAACAAAGGTACACAGCAAATAACTGCCCAGATGGGTGTTGGGAGGTCAGAGTAGTTTGAAAGAGAATGTGTGCTACAGAAATTAAGTCTGTTCGACAGGTGAATGTTGAAATGCTGTAATACAGCGGAGTGAGGATATGTTTCTTTAGCTTTGGGTCTAGAGGACAGTTTCCTTCCAGTTCTGATACGTCCTGGAGTCTGCCCCATATCCCTAGTAGCCATTCAGAAGCTTCTGAATTAACACTTATGAGTTCAGAAACATTTGAATTAAAGGTGTAGAAGGTAGGGCTGTGTTTGCTACTATCCATACTCCGTTAGAATTTTATGTTGTGGGTGATTGTGAAAATGATGTATTTTTTTGTGTTCTGTTCCCCTCCCTCCTTTTGTGTTTTCCAGGAGAGAATAGAGTATTCCAAAACTTTCCAGGGAAAATACTTTAACTTTATGGGTTATTTTTTCTCCATCTATTGTGTCTGGAAAATCTTCATGGTATGTAAACGTTTTATTGCATTTTATGTGGACTTATGTCATACCCTGCATAGCTTGTGCGATACGTGCAGTTCGTTAAGTAATGCTCTTAGTTTCCTTAAAATTGGGCTTCTGGAAGTTCTGAAAGAAACTGGCCCTTGGCTGAAATAAAGCTCTGGATCTGTCTTTTTGTGCAGACATTTGGCATTAGACAAGCAAGTCTTACAAGTGTGCATTTTGCACCTTGTTAGACAATCCGACCACGCCCTGCCCCTTTCCTCAGTGATACAACCTAAGCCGTGAATTTGTCTCACTGTGACAGAGAGAAATGCTTTTGTCTTTTTGTTTGAAGGTAAATCCATCTCTTTCTCACAGGCAACCATCAATATTGTGTTTGACCGTGTGGGGAAGACTGACCCAGTCACAAGAGGAATTGAGATCACTGTAAATTACCTGGGAATCCAGTTTGATGTGAGTCTTTACTAATTCTGACAGCCTTTTCAGCAGTTCATATCCTATCTAAATAAAATCATACTGCTGACAGGGAGAAGGTGGTGGACCCTGGGAATGTGTCTTTGGCTTTTGACTTATTGAGGAGGAAGGGAAAATGCACCATGAACGTTCCTTTCACACTGACTCTATGCTGAGATGGTGATGTGGTCTTGCCAGAGAGGCATTGATTAGCTTTTTATGTTTTGGAGAAATGGAATCACTTTAGACAACTTGCTTAGATTAATACATATCAGCTACAGAGTAATTTTGATTGCTTATGCAAACGGGTGTTCTGTCATTTACACTTTTTAAATATCTCCCTGTGAGAATGGGGTTCTTTGTGGTTGGTGTAAGCTAAATCTGTTTTTCTTGTGTGTTTGGAGTAAACAGTTGCTAATACATTTGTGAAAATGTCTGTTATGTAAACCTGTCTACAATGGATATCTGTACATTAGGAAATACAAAGACCCTGAAGAATTGGCAGCTATACAGTGTGGTGTCAATGGGGTTAGCTCTAAAGTTTTAACTGTATTCTTCTTTTTGATACAGGTCAAATTCTGGTCTCAGCACATTTCCTTTATTCTTGTTGGGATAATCATTGTTACCTCTATTAGAGGGTTGTTAATCACACTTACAAAGGTAAGAACCAGGGCTCTTAAGTGGTTTTAGACCTGGAAATCCATTATCAGATCTCTACCTGTAGATGGGACAAATACTGTGCAAACTTTGAAAATACATTTATATTTAAATGTCTGAATATAAGTACTTGCAGAAGGAGGAAGGTAGGAAGAATACCTTTTGCAGTAAATTTCCCCACTCAGTCTCAATTATGACTGTCAGGAAGAGATATGTAAATGTTAAATAAGATGTTAAATGTAAGCAAGGGTTCAAAATGCTGCTGTAACCAAGACTTATCAGTAAGGTTGATGAGATGGTGATTAAAAGCATCTGGATTACTTAATTTGAGCTGCTGGTAGGACTGGAAAGGGATTAACTCAAGAAACATGTGACTCAATGTCTTGACCTGGCCTTTGATATCTAAGCTTAAACTTCTCTATATATTGTGCTGTGACTTCTACCACATGGCACAGCTGCCTTTGGGAGATGTTTAAGACTTAACACTGCAGGTTTATGAAAGTAAGATACAGGTAGCCTTCTAGAATGTATGTTTTTTATTGGTTTTTTTTTTCCTAGTGAAAAGGTATTGAATGGGATGTACCTTTCATGCTGTCCTAAGGCATGTCAGATTTATCTGACTGCTTATTTCCAGTATTTTGGTTTTTTTTTCCTAGTTCTTCTATGCCATTTCCAGCAGCAAGTCCTCCAATGTCATCGTTCTGCTTTTAGCACAGATAATGGTGAGTACGCGGAGCCGCGGGCACACCCGTGTGCATTTATGCATTTTTATATGTGTGCATATACGTGTCATAAGGTCTTTGTGTGCTGACCCCTTTTAGCCACGTAGCCTGTTGTGAAGCAGTAGCTGCTTTCCCTGTGTTAATTAGCTGTGTTAATTTGCAGGGTATGTACTTTGTGTCGTCGGTGCTCCTGATCCGGATGAGCATGCCCCCGGAGTACCGCACCATCATCACAGAAGTCCTGGGAGAGCTCCAGTTCAACTTCTACCATCGTTGGTTTGATGTCATATTCCTAGTTAGTGCCCTCTCCAGTATCCTCTTTCTCTATTTAGCTCACAAACAAGCCCCAGAAAAGCACATGGCCCTCTAAGTGAGAACTGCAGCCACGCACTGCTCTCTGTCCTTTCAGCTGCACTGCTGCAACTCCTGTGGATTGCACAATGTGAAGAGAGCCAGGACTCTTTTGTGTGTTCCAGCAGCATAACTGGCTCTTTGAACTTCCATACATGTCACCATCAAGCTCTGTGGCTCGTTTTATTAAGGTGCTACAGCTGGAGGGGAAGAGGGTGCACGTATTGAACGTGAGACAGTTCATTGCCAAGCAATAAGGGCACTCCCTGGTGCACCACTGCCCAGGGACGTCAGAACTTGCATGATAGGCTGTCTGAGGGAACACCTCTTAATGTTGGAACAACATCTTCATAGAAGGCACCAAGGAAATGTGATTTTTCTTTTGAAAATCGGTTCATAATTGGGATTCAGAGGACGGCAATCCTGGAATTGAATGTTTGAGTCTGTGGAATTAAATAAGCTTTTGTAATATCTCATGCAAGCATCAGCGTTGGTTTTTTGTCAGTCCCTAAGGTTTGGCTGGATGCCAGCTAGAAAGTGGTTAGGATTTACTGCCTGGCAGAAGTGGAGAGGATTTCACTCCATTTCTGTCTGGAGTGTGTGCTGGTGTGTATCATTAGTGCCTGATGTCCTTAGGAGCTGGAGATCAGCTTTCTCTTGCTGAGTCTCAACTTTCTTTCCTCTCTCTGCATAAATGTAACTGAGGCTCTGGATTCCTCTTTGCTGCAGTTCAGTGTGAAGTCAAAGACCACAGCCATGTCTTATTTATGTTGTATGTTACAAATTTTATCCATGTGACTTAAACTTGTAGGTTCCCACAGCCACTCTCCTGGGCTTTGTTTGTTTTGTAATTGTTCTAGAACATAAATCATAGAGGGTAAGAGTAAGATCTGGAGAGGGAAAAAATAACCACTCTAAATAGTTTATTTCTGTTTTGTCTTTGGTGTACAGCAAGGAAGCAAAGTATAACAGCAGCAGTGTTACAGAGCCATATGTGTCACATCCAAGTCAATATGGTGTTGACTTGGGGTTAGACAAACCTGCACAACTGAATTATGTTGTGCTCTTCTAACCACCATGATCCACAGCAGAGGAGAGAGAACAGTGCTTAACCATCTTGAGTTATGAATTACGAAGTGAGCTTAGTGTTTGAAAGGAATTTCTGCAGTGTTAGCAGGAAAAAGGAGCATAATGCACGGAGTACATTGACTTGTGCCACTTCACAGCAGTTGTATTGCTGGAAGTACAGCAAAGAGTTGCCACTGAGATTGAGTTGATGGACTTGGATTAGGGGGAGAGCTGCCTCTCCTGGGAGCTGGGGAGAAATCAGTTGCTCTTTATTGAGAGCTTATCTTTAAAAGGCTGAGATACTTACAAATCTATAAAACGTTTCCGTCTTCTTCTGCAATCCTTAATTATATCCTTGTAGTTATTTAAGCCTTTTTATCACTAAGTGAGTAACTGCCCACTTTACAGGGCAGAAAGCCAATGAAGTACAATTGCAGGGTGTTAAATGGATGCAAGTTACACTGAAGTGTTTATTTCAGGAAGAGACTGCAGTCCTTTACAGGCATGGCACTCCTTGGAATAGCCAAGTTCTGGGAGGTGTAGTAGCAAAAAATTACTGAAGAAAGATTCAGGTGGTTTCTTTTTTGTTGTTGTTGTCTCCTCACAACTTTGTGTCGTCCTCGTTGGAACTGGCAGCTCTTGTGGAGGCAGCTGATTGTGAAGAGGAGGATGAGTCTGCCTGCAGAGGAGTAACAAATGTGTTCTGATTATTTTCAGTTTGTAAACATGGTTGATAGTCTGCAGTGCTCTGAAGGACTCCTGTTTTCATTTGCACTAATCACATATTTGTTTAGATGGCAGAACGAGCCAACAAATATAATTTTTGTTGTCGAAGGGCTTTTTTGGTTAAGTACATTTAGAGGGAAATTTGGAGGATTCTTGTTGAATTCCTGTGTCTGCTGAATTTGAACCCAAAAGTGGTGCTAATTTCAGATCTGCAAAATGCAGCTTGGGGACTAAGAAATTCTTGAAAAAACGTGTAGCTGGACACTTGCAGACAGGGCTAATGAAAAATGAACGGGTAACAGTATTGGTCTTATTCTTCCTTGTCTGTCCCTTCTGCATGATCAGAAAACAAGCATTTAAATATTTAAGACTGACCACACGGAGGGTTAAAAGTGACTGCTTGGAGAAGAAATACCTTCCTGCTTTCCTGACTTCTGTCATGCTTCAGATTCTTTCTAATGGCATGAAATGAGTAAAATAATTGCAAATCAGCACATTCCCTAGAAAATGTCATCATAACCTATCAGTTGCTGTTCCTTCTCCAAAATGATCAACTTTGAAACATTCTACCTGATTTTCACAAAAAGTTGTTTATGTTTTTGGTGTATTTAAGCACTTCTTCCTGCACTTCCACTATTGTATTGCCTGTTTCCCGTCATCGTTAAGGATTACCATGTTTGGATTATCTTGTTCCATAAAATTTCTTGTATGTGCATTCTTTGTGTGATTTAATCTTCCATTAAAGATACTCACCTGTATTATGTGTGGGGAAGGGAAGAGTTGTTTATGACAATTAGCAGTTTCTCTTTTAACAACTTGCAAAAATCCAGGCTCAAGTTAAAATTCCTAGCTCAGGAAAAATACACTACCTGAAAAAAGCTGTTTTCCTATCCCCTGTGTGATCCCTCAGCATCTGCTTAATGCAGTATCACTCACCCTTTCCCTTGGTTCAGGTGAGTTTCTCTCTGGCTCTGACAGATGGTTTTCTGTGTAAGCAGGAGGTTCGGGAGTGTCATGGGCTGGCTCTGCCATCGAGGCTGTGATGGGAATGTTCTGGCCCTGGAAGTACCTGTAAGCATCTTTGCTGCACACCAGCAGTGTTAGTCTGTCACCACTGTTTTGGATTCTTGCCACCACTTCGTCGTAGGGGTCGCTGATCACGTTCACTCCGTTCACTTCCACCAAGAAGTCGTTGTTTTCTACCCCTGCCCTGTCAGCTGGCCCGTGGTTTTTTACCTGCAGAGGCAAGTTCAAAGCATAAAACTTGGAAAGATGCATTAACAACTGAGGGTTAGCTACACTGCTGTGCTGCTGCTTTCCTTACAGGATGGTGAAATAAGCATGGGGAAGGGGAGAATCGTGGGGCAGGAATGAATTTGGAGGGGCAATGGGCCTAGACATAATAAACATGGAGTCCTCAGTTTGGGATTTTAGGATGCATCTTGATTTTGATAGATTTACATTATAGAAATGCGACATGGCAGAACCATGAAGACGAGTGGAAAAACAGTTTTTTTTACTGTTTGCAGGTCTCTGTCCAATAACTTTGAAGTTAACTTTACTAGATTTCACAGATTCCTTAGTGATAAGTGGAACTCCAAGTCACAGATGTAATTTGAGACTGCAGAATTTTGACTTTCACCAGCTGTGGAATTCAGAGAAGGTGGGCGGGGGGGGCAAAGGTGTCTCTGCTATAATTAAGATGTTCTACAGTCAGAAATACTAATTTTAGTGTGCCTGCCTCATGAATAAAAGCAAAAAATTATGCAAAAGCAAAAGCTGGATTCCCCTTCCCTCTGGATGTCTAGAATGAGGAATCTCCTGGTGCTTGTTTTTTATATTAGGCCAGCAATGTCACTGCGACTTAAGGAAGTATAGCTCTTATCTGAGAGCACTGCAGAAGAGATTTTTGTGGCTTTTCTTATATTTATCTGCAGGATGGAAGGGAGGAAGCTGTCTGACTGCTCGAGCTTTTCCTTGCGCCTCCTTCTTCATTAGTACCTCACTGATGAACAGTCCAGGCTTGTTCTTGATCATGTTTAAGCTGAAGCCAAATCCACTAGGCCCTTTCACCATCTTGCACATTCTTGGCTTGTGGTTCACTCTGTGCTCAGTGTGCAACTCCACTCTTTCTTCCACTTTACCTGGAGTTGAATCTTGTGCTTTGTAGTAGTATGAGAAGGGGGAAATTTGAGCCTGAAAAAAGTGACAAATAAAACTAAACATAAAAACTTCTGTTGTGAAATCTGTTTCAGGCTCTCATGCTCGACAGGTTTTGTTTGAAACTGTTTGAAATTCAGCTGTGCTGAAGAACTCTTCCCTATTGATTTCTGGCAGAATAGGAAGCTACAGTGTTGATCTATGTGGGAAGGGAATTTTGTTACTCATTTATAAATATACAGTCATGTAGCTCTGAATTTGCTGCCTTAACAGCAAACTAACTTTTCATGTGGTGTGTTTGAATTTAGAATTGTCCCAGTAGTGTCTATAAAAATCGGGAAGAGGCCAAAAATTTGGGTATTTAGTTAGACTTCCTGTATAATGCTAGGAGAGTTGCTGAAATATGGGGTATATCTTAGAGACTTCCTGCAAGTTGAAGAAGTGTCTGTCAGAGCAGGTTGGCTGTTTCATTCTGCGTATGTCTCTCGATGATGATAAATTACCAATTTTTAGCAGTAGTTTGCATTTTCTTACCAGTTTATACATGGCATCAGTTTCCTTATCCACGACCAGCAGTGTGGTTTTTGCCTCAGACTGCTTGATTTTTCCCACTACACTCTCGTGGTCCAGACCATCCACTTGCTCTCCGTTGACGGCCACTAAGATGTCGTCGTCTTTGAGACCCGCCACGGCCGCCGGGCTCCCGGGATTTACGTCCTTGATGACGTGGTCTAAGAGCAGAGAAGGGAAGACAGATTGATGTGAAGGTGCAGCTTGGTGAGTTGGAAGACATTAAAAGGCATAGCAAAGGCGAATTGTCAGAAAGGCGCTTCGGGTTGAGACCAATTCCCTGGTGCAGCCCTGTGGAACGTGTCCGTGGGGGATTTCTGCCGGGCGACCAGTCAGAAACCAAAGAAAATGAAGCCTGCAAACACTGTACAGGAAGAAGCTGTGTATCAGATGTCACAGTCTGTGTGTTAACTTGGTTCTTACCACCAGTGTTTTGTTCCATCCGTAGGTAAAATCCGTAACCGCTTTTCCCCTTCTGGATCTCGATGAGTCGTGGTCTGAGGGGGAGCAGTCCTAGGCTGGCGCTCTCTTTGCTCAGAACCTTCTTCTGGCTTGTGAAATAGTGGTCTGTTTCTTCATTTGAAAGTAGAAACATAACATGATTTTCAGACTTCTTTACCTGTGATAGTACATGTACAGTCTCAGATGTCACCCCTTCAACAGCATGTGGGAACTGTAGATACTTTGGTGCTCTGACACATGGTGTGGGGGGGTGCTGCTGATGAATGAGCTGTAAGGGGTAGGCCATGCTACTATAAGTTGATTTCCACCCCCCCCACTTCCAGTCAGAAATTTGGGCCATGATGAGATCCTGGACATGTAATACATGAGGAAATTTTCTGTATTTCATACTGTGTTCGTGACCTACAGGGACCCGTAGAGGGCCATGAGGGTGGCATACAGTGCTGTAGAATCCAGTGAGCCTCAGGAGATAGTGCTTGGCTATGTGAAACTCTA